TATAAAATATATATATATATATATATATATATATATGTGTGTGTGTGTGTGTATGAAGAGGCCCCTAAAAAATTGTGGCCCTAGGCTCTTGCCTGGGCTGCCTGGGCTGCCTGGCCCAAGAGCCGACACTAATCGAGTTACCCGGCTCAACCCATGACGAGCCACCTTCCCACTTGACTTTAGTCCACCCGACCGCATTTCATAAAATATTTGATCACAATAAATAAATCATGTAATAAAAATAATAATAAAAAGACATTTTAATTATCTAGGTTAATTCAGTGTACAATTATATCTATTAAAACTAGTGTTTGAATACACATAATTTATCTAGGAAGGTATAAATTAATGCACTTTATAAAGCGGAATGTCGCACTTTATAAAACAACACATTGCACATTATAAAACATCACATTGCACTTTATCACCACACTCCACAACTAATGTCAATAGCTCCCACCAAACTATTACGTGATATAAATATAAAAAACAAATCTACATAATATGATATCTATCACATCATTTATCCACACAAAATAAAAGCATGCTAACGCACCAAAATTTCAGTATTGAACTATATGTATCAATAGGTTGCACTTTATACATCAATAAGTTGCACTTTACAACACAACAATGTTGCAACTTCTAAAAAAACACGCTGCACGTACCAGAATTAGAGTAATTTTGCTAATTGGTCGAATAATATTAGTTGGTTAAATATCGGATATATTTTTTTAAATAAATTAACAAAATAACCGAACATGTCGAACTATATGAAAAATATTACCGATTTATTTTTATTTATATTTTTTAAATGAAAAATAATAATATTTTCTATCAATATTTTTTATATATCGCGAGTAACACAATATGGTTATACGGATTGCACATAATGTCTATCAGCTTGCATAATCGAACAAGAACGTGCTAAATTTTATATTTCTGTTCGATTGTTATTATTATTTTTTACATATCGTTATTTCGGTACGATGACATTTTTTTCATTCAAATAACCGAATTAAACCCAAACTATATTAAAAAAATATTTTTTATATTTTTTTATTTAGATCATCGAAATAATCGTGGCCGAACTATATGGAAAATACTATTATTTTTTTATTATTATATGTTTTATGTTTATTTATCTTAATAAAAAAACTATAAAGACATTAAATATTATCAAACATCATAATCCNTCATGTCTATAGTTGAATTTCAACAAATCAAACGATCTTTTGATTTCCCAGATGCGAAAAATAGGAAGGGATTAGTGAAAAATTAAAATATTGATTTATAGTTTAAATAATTACAAAATTACCCTATGAACTCAATTGTAATTTATTAAACTTGTTAAAATTGTAATTAAACCCCTAAATGTTATCAAATTCACAAACTCAAGTCCTTGTTCGTAATTGGAAAAACTTAACAATTTGGCCGCAACCGCCACCGCCGACAATCTCACCCTGCGGCCACCGGACCTCCCATGACCAAGGTCCGACTCTGAAAACCTCACCCGGACGCCGACAACCTCACCCTGCCGCCGACGACCATCCATAAAAAAATTCCTAAGTGGCCGAGTTCGCCGACGAGCACCACACCCACTGTCGCGCGCCGCTGCACTAGACGATCCGAAGTGTTCGCGCTGTCATCGTCGTCGGGGAGCAGCAAAAAGCCTTGACCATCGGATTTATGGAAAGAGGGGATGACTAGGGCGGCGACCGTCACCGGACGGCAGTCGGCTCCGGGCGGAGGGTTTGTTTCTAGGTGGCTGTGCGACTGTGTGTGTGTGTGTGTGAAGATTCTGTGAGTTGGTGTGTATCGACAATGTGTGTGTTNAGAATTGGGTGTGAGATTGGTGTGTGTCAACTTCAGTAGCTGAGTAGCTTACACAACTACGAAGTTGTATCTTTTGAGTGGAATCTCGAAAAAGCTATGACGCCTATGACTAAGAAGTCGATTTAAACAACTACAAAGTTGTAATCACAAGTGGAATCTCGAAAAGGGCTACGAAGCCTACGACTACGAGGTCGATTTAAACAACTATGAAGTTGTATCTTTCGAGTGGAATCTCGAAAAGGCTATAAAGCTTACGACTATGAATACGTTTAAAACAACTACGAAGTTGTATCTTTCGAGTGGATTCTCGAAAAAGCTATGAAGCTTACGACTATGAAGTCGATTAAAGAAACTACGAAGTTGTACTTTTTGAGTGGATTCTCGAATAGGCTACGAAGCCTACGACTACGAAGTTGATTAATACAACTATGAAGTTGTATCTTTCGAGTAGAATCTCGAATAGGCGACGAGGTCAATGATTACGAAGTCTAACAATCATAACTATGAAATGATTCCGAATAATGATACAACAAACAAATATGAAGTCGACTAATACAATCGCATGGATATACCCTCGATAATGGCGACATATCAGCTACGAAGTTGCTAAAATCATTGCTCGACTTCGACCAGCTCGCAAGATGGGTTGGGAGAGGACGAGTTGAAAAACTAATGTTTATTAACTACGAAGCTACTAAAATCATTGCTCAACTTCGACCAGCTCGCAAGATGGGTTGGGAGAGGACGAGTTGGAAAACTTATGTTTATCAGCTACGAAGCTGCTAAAATCGCTCGACTTCGACCAGCTCGCAAGATGGGTTGGGAGAGGACGAGTTGAAAAACTTATGTTTATTAGCTACGAAGCTGCTAAAATAATTGCTCGACTTCGACAAGCTCGCAAGATGGGTTGGGAGATGACGAGTTGAAAAACTTATGTTTATCAGCTATGAAGCTGCTAAAATAATTGCTCGACTTCGACAGCTCGCAAGATGGGTTGGGAGAAGACATAGTAGCGCGAAGAGATACTTCACTGAGCGATAGAACGTCGACTTGACACAGCATGAGTGTCGATACTTGAAATCGCAATGGCAAAGCGGCACAGACAAACCAGAAAATTGAAAGATCATGCAAGGCAAAACGCAAAGACAAAGGGAAAATGATCGATATATTGATAGAAGATCCGCACAAAAGTCGTCTCGACTTGTTACAAAAATGACTTACTCAAGTTCAGAACAAAAAAGATCATAACTGGGACAAACGACCAATGCATGTAAAAGCAAGTAAATAAAACAATAAGCAAACGGTCATCACACGATCAAGACAAAACAGCAGCCACATTTGAGTCAGCAGTAGATTTTCCCCCTCGTCTCCACCATCCCCGGCACTAACGGTCTCAGTCTTGTCGGCTTTATCCGCCTCTTTCTCATCATCCACATTAGTTTTCTCAGTCTTTTCCTCGTCAGCAATACCCTCCCTCACCTGCTCGCCTCCTTCCTCAACATCCTTATCAACCTCCTCATAATCTGCACCACTTGGCCTGACTAATTCGGTCGAACCAGCCAAGGGGGTAGGGAGAACCTCGAGTTGGGCAGAAAGCCCGGCCTTATGAATGGCCTTGTTCTCGAGGCCAATCCACCATGCATGATCGTCGGGAAGATTCTCGTCACCATGATAGCCAACAGGAAAGGGAAGTGTTTTCTTAACCTCCGCACGAACGAGCTTGCCCTTGCACTCCGGCTTCGCCACGGCCGTTTCCCCAGCATCGAAGGTGTGGTCGAAGTACTGAATGGTAACAAGGCAGAGCCTCTCAAGAAAAGTCGATGAGTTGCAAAATTTCTCGACGACCTCCTGACGATAGGTCTCGAGGAAGATAGAACCTATAGGCGACTTGAATAACGTCCTGCGACCTTCCTCAAGCCCTGCTTCCCGCTCGACTAGCCCGTCCTCATGGGATTTCTCGAGGTCGACCCTCAGCTGCTCGATCTTTCATCTTGCCACTGCCTTATCGGCCTTCAGCTTGGTGACCACAGCTTTTGAAGCTTCGAGCTCTTTCTCCTTGTCGTCAAGCTCTTTGCACTTAGCTGCATATTTTTCCTCCATTGCTCGGAAGTTGGAGTGAGAAGAGGCAGTTTTTGCTATCATCGAAGGAAGAATGCAGGCAAGAAGCTGAAACGATAGAAAATGACGAGGAATAAGTGTTCAAACCAGGATAATTGTCAAATCTCGACGATATGAAAGAAAAATAAACAAAGAAAACAAAACCTTACCCGGGGTAAGAGACGGGCAGCATAATGATCTCGGTGATAGGGGTTAGCATCGACGCGAGACCTATCGGCAGACGGGAGAGATGAATGGAGATACTCGTGCACCTCATTAGAATCGGGGTTGTCATGCAGACGAGATGGTTGCTGCAGAGTCACATGACGGATTTTGATGGGAGAAGGAGCAGGACTCTCAACATTTACTACATCCTTGCCTTTCAAACGCTTGGCCGAGTCCGGCACTAGCTTGATGTTGCTAGGGTCGAGGACTCTTTTGCGCGAAAGCGAGAGAGTATTCTTGGCAGACTTCCTAGAAGGACTCACAGTCCTCCCGACACGATCAACAGACTTCTCGACTAAAGAGACCTTCTCAGTTGAGACGATTTCAGGCTTTCTTTTCGGAGATTAAACGACAGTCTTAGAAGGCTGGCCGCCAGTTTTCTTCTTGGTTTCAAAACGATCAATGAACTTATCTACAAAAGGGAGAAAAGGTTTAGAATAATCCTAACACAGCAACTCGACCCTAGAAAAATGACTTACCAAGATTCTTGATAAAAGAAGCATCCTTAAAAGAGCATATGCCACATTGATTAAGCAGCAAACGATCCCTAATCACTCGACGGGCGCTCCATGAATGCTTGTTCATGCCATCCAACATGGTCGCGAATAAGTCAGAACGAGGACGTTTATTTTGCTTAACCTTATCGGTTAGCCAGACATCGGTAAAAGGATAAAGACCGAGAGGAGGACGGATAAAGACAATCTTCGACTTCTATTCAGTCACGTTTGAAGATAAGTCGTCGAGGAAAGTAACTCCCCGACGACGGCCTAAACAGTGAGCATTTTTTATAAATCGATACCCATAGCAATAAAAAAGGAAATCAAGCGAGAACCGGCCAAACTTTACTTTCGAAATTATGATAAAGGCTATCATGATACGAAGAGCATTGGGAGAAAACTGATTTATTGGAATATTATACAAGTTGCTTATTGTGATGAATTTGGGTTGAATGGGAAAACGGAGGCCGAAGACGATTTGATCCATGAAAAAAATATAGCAGCCTCGAGGAGGGTTTGCGAAAGTGTCGTTAGGATGAGGGGCAATCATTTCCCAATCAGAGGGGAGCCCGCTATACCGCCTGAAACCAGTGAGTTCGGCTGTAGGGGAATAAGAAAAAGAACTAAGAGTCGCCATTTTAACTAAAGGACACGCTACTGTTACAACATTTTGGGGCTCGACAAAAGGAGCGATTATTGGTAAAGGAACAGGACTGGTCTTATATACAGGAATATTGAGGAACCTAAGAGAGATACCTTGGGGAATGGGCTCTAGACGAGGACTGTCAGCTTAGGGAGGACCTTGTAGTTCACGAGCTAAAATGCCCGACAAAAGTGACTGATTATACTCATCCCAATCGACTCCAGAAGGAGAGACATCAGAATCAAGAAAAGAGTTCTTTTACTCGACTGCTGGCCCTGAATCGATTATTTGAACAGAGTTAGAGCTCGAGTATTCACTGATCTGACGAGCAAGAGAGCCAGAGAGAGAAGCGGAGTCGGAAGCTAAAGGGAAAAAAAATAGAGGTGATGATCAGTACGTGAGGCATAAACTACACTCAACTGTTGCAGAATGCGAGGACGAGTCAACCTACAAACCCCCCGACACAAATTGGATCGTCAGGATTTAAAGATGTAAAGTCGAGTTGAGTCGACCCATAAAGAAAAGCAAAAGTTGGGTTACTGCCTTAAGCCGAGTAGCCGACTTCCTAACAAACATATCAGCAGTGCGAGATCCTGTGTCAAAGATCTGGCGCCACAAAATACTAGAAAATACAAGAAATTTTTGAGGAACATGAAGAACACGTATGAACTCCAAATGCGAAAAACCCAGAAAGCGCAAAAAATTGGTGAAAATAAGGGAAGATAAGTAAACTTACACATGATGCCTTAGTTGGAGGAGTCTCGAACAAATTGGAAAAGTGGACGGAAAGCTGGGCGCCGGAGAAGCAGAGGAGTACAGAGTCGCCGAGAAAGTTCAGAGAGTTGGAGAAAAATCGAGAAGTTGTGAAAAGTGGTTTGTCGTGAGGTTGGAGTATATTTATCAAAGGGAAGGTGAATATTAGCCTTTGGATCAAGAGAAGATCTAACGGCTCAGGTAAGGCACGGAATCCTAAACGGCGGAGTTGAAGAGTCGCGTCATGTCCAAATTCAGAATTTGAAATTCGAAAAAGCTTCAGTATTAGAATTATCCAGAAAACCTTAAGTATCAGATCAAGTGGAGAGATCAAATCACGGACGATTTGACACGATGACGAGACGAGCTTCTATCATAACGAGCAATCATTGATAAACAGGTATGATGGATATAAGTCGAGAAAAAGTACCTCAAGGAATATCGGCATCGAGGAAGGGCCACATTCGACATTGCCAAGTCGACATACTTAAAGACGACCTCCTGACTGGACAGCTCTACGTGAGTCCTTTAAAGGCAGACGCCGTCTTGACCCAAGTCGAAGACGTCAAAGTCAATTTCCCTAAGCCGGATCCTAAAGTCAGCTTCCACCAAGAAGACGAACGAGTGCAGCCTCTGGATGTTCACAGGACCTTAAGTTGACCTCCCGGTGCTCGAGGTCGACTCTTTGCGCCTTGAGGCCCAAGGCGTATTGACGACTTAGTACACTTGCGATATCTCTTGAAGTCTCGTGTCCCCTAATGGATAAGAAAGAATCTCATGATGAATAAGAAGTAAGGGGAGGCGAATCGACCGGGGTACATTGGACATTTTAGGTAAACCGACTGGGGCATTTTGGGTACTTCATGTAAATGTTTTCTCCTATATAAAAGGGCTGATGTAACCCTAAACCCCAACTTCCGTTCATTCTATACACTTTCCTCTCCTGTAGCTGCTGCTCTCTCAGAGCAGCCCTCTTCATCTCTTTCACATACTAACTTGAGCGTCGAAGGCTCTACGCCGGAAACACTTCCGGTGTTGAGTTATTGCAGGTGTTTTCGCGGTCTAGCAACGGTTCGAAGGCGATTCAGACAGATCGGAGCTCATTATTACCAGTTTGCTTCAAATCCAGAAGTAGACCCATCAGGTGAGATGTACGTTTTTAGCTCATCACATTCATATACTCTATATTTCTGCAAATCATCTTCTACACATACTCATTTAAGCATCAGTGTATCTTCATCGGGAAACTTCTTCGGTGTGAGAGTTTTTGCAGGTCTTAAGGCGTTCAACCGGCAAGGAAACTCATCAGCATGCCGATCTCAGCCGGTCGGAGGTTGTTTGATACGAGTATCTATAAAAATTATAAAATATTATATTTGTTTTCAAAGAGTTTTGATTTTAACAGAAAATAAAAAATTCCAAATAAGGTAATAATGTTTGGCGGAAAAACTTTAATATGTGTGTTTATGGATTTCGTTGCTTTTAGCAATACATAGATTTAATTTATAAATAATTTATGGTAATTTAAATATAATTATAAGTACATTTCAATTTAGGTATTCTATTAGAATTATAGAATATCAAATTATTTTCAATTCTTTTTTATTTTTTATTAGAAAATATAAAATTTTGGTATAAAAGTAATTATATTTGGCGGAAATATTTTATAGTTCTATTAATAGATTTTGTTCTCTCTAGTAATGTATAGATTTGCGACCCTACTGATTTCCATTTTTTAAGATATTTTAATTGGAAAATGCTACAAGTCTATAATAAATGTACATAGAGGTAGGCTTGGTATTTTTTGATCGAAAATCGAACACCGAACTAAACCGAAGCGAACCGATGTGAAAATAAACCGAACCGAATCATGTGTAACAGTAACCGAAAATCGGTTACCGAAATGTTATCGGTTCGGTATCGGTTCCGAACCTATAAGGGTTCGGTTTTACCGAACCGAACCGATAACAATATATAAAAAAAAAAATACTGTTTTTGAGTTTTGAATAGGTATATAATATTAGTTAAATAAAATAATTTGGTATTAAAACTTAATTAATCTAAGAAAAAAAAGGAGTAAAGGACAAATAATATTTAAACAATAATATTCAATATATTTTTGTCCCTGTAATTGAAAAGGTATGTTCAATATATTTTGACCTGCTGCTGCTCTGTTATTGCCTTATTGATCCATGGTTTGTAATAGAATCACACAAAGTGTGAGGGCTGGTTGTCATGCTGCTCTGTTATTGATCCATGGTTTGTAATAGAAATATAGAATCACACAAAGTGTAAGGGCTGGTTGAATTGAGACTCTGAGAGCCCAAAAAAAAGGTTTTTTTATTAGCCTCGGTTTTTTCGGTTTTTTATCGGTTTAAACTGAAACCGAACCGTTTTATCCGTAACCGGCTTTTCGGTTACTGAATGATTATCGGTTCGGATTCGGTTTGCAAAGTAGTTAACCGATAGTATTCGGTTCGGTATCGGTATTATGTTACGAACCGATACCAGCCCTACATAGAAGTGTACATAACGCTCACATGGAGTGTGGAGTCCACCTAACTTTTTATTTATGGTAGGTCCTACTCAATGTGAGTGTTATGTACACCCCTATGTACAACATATTATGTATCTATAGCATTTCTCTTTATAATTAGACATACTTCAAAATGTTAATATCCATATTTTAGGATATTTTTGGAAATATTTCAAAATGATGATATGAATTATGGTTTGTGTAAATTAACTTTTATTTTAATATTATTCGCTCATGGATTTTTTAACATCAATCAGTTCATGCTAAAAAAAAAAAATCCATGTCCACCCAAAACACTTATTTTGTGGGATAAGGATGACTTCAACTTGAATTCATTTTTTCTTTTTTCTTTTTTCTTTGTGGAAATTCAGTACAGGCATTTATGCGAAAGGCTGGATGTGACTGAGACTTGAGTAACCTATAAACGGGCCGGCGGGTGGACTTATTTTGACCGGGCGGGCCGACGATTGGTTTTTTGGCCTGCTTGGCCGGGCCGAGGATTTAAGTGCGCATACCGAGATTTTGAGGAACCTTGGTTGAAGTGCCCCATTTAATTTCATTAATTTTCTTTCGAGTTTTTACTACATACAGAGTATTGAATCATGTGCTGCTCATGGCATGACCACCAATACATGTCGCGCAAGTGACAGCAAAAACTTTTGTTTTTCTTCTTTTTTTTTCGTCATGCAACACAAACGCCATAATGAACCTCTTCTCTTTTCCAGTTTATATATATACAGTATATTTACATCTAACTTTAACACAATTTTCTCTTCTTGCCCTTGATTCTTCCGTTTTCATTTACTTTCATATCGACAATGATGTTCTCCAAAGAAGATGCTCGCACCACAATTGGTATTATAGGTAATTGTCAATATATTGTAAAACTGTGTTGATTTAAAATGTAGTCTATTGATGTTATGTCACCAATTATTTGCTCT